TTTTTTTTTTTTTGTCCACGTGTAGAATAGCCTCAGCTTGAGCAGATTGGTTCATTTTCAGGTGGTAAAATGATCTCCTCACTCTGGCCGCCATCCTTACCGACCGCCGAGAGGTGCGAAACGCTGCGGAGGCGCCAACTCCATCTCTTTCACCTTTTTTTTTTTTAAGATTTTATTTATTCATTTGAGACACAGAGATACAGAGAGAGAGAGAGAGCATGAGCAGAGAGAGAGGCAGAGGGAGAGGGAGAAGCAGGATCCCCGCTGAGCCAGGAGCCTGATGTGGGGCTCGATCCCAGGTCCCTGGGATCATGACCTGAGCCGAAGGCAGACACTTAACCATCTGAGCCACCCAGGCACCCCCTGGTCTCTTTCACCTTTGCCCCATTGCCACGAGAGCCACCCACCAGGTGGCACAAAGCGGAGGAGAGGTGACTCATGCTCCCCTGGGCCTGACTTCGGGACCTTTGACCACCAGGAAACTGGCAGGGCAATTTCTTTCTCAAACTAACTCACCCAAGTAACAAATCATTGAGCCTAAGATATTTCATTCAATAACCTTTATTATTTGTCTGACAGTAGAGATAACACATACCACTGTAACAATTTCAGAAAATACAGAAAATGCATAAATTAGACAACGCATAAAGCAGCCACCAACAGACACACCACTAACCTTCTTCCGTACCTCTTTTTAAAGAAGTGTAAAAAAAAAAAAAAAAGAGAGAGCAAGGAAGTGGCCCACCTCCCAGACTGGCTTTCAAATCCCACTGTGCCCAGCTGAGCCCTCACTGGAGACTCAAGATGGTAGACAAATAAAATGTCACCTGTTTTGAAACTCCTCATTTTAATCCCATTAAAGAAGTAGAGATCTTCCCAGGGTTTTTACTCCAAGAGGACATGATTTCACACACACTTCACACAAACATATGATCTTTCTCTCTACACCCAGTCTTCTCCACAGGCCTCAAGAGGTGAGGGCCTCCACACACAAGGGACTCCGTGCAATCAATCAAACCGGCAAGCAGGCGCCTGCCTTCAGACCAGAGTCTTGCTTGCAGCGTGAGACAGAGAGGATCAGCGCACACACACTCCTCCCCTCCTCAGGAAAACCTGTCTTTCTGTGCCTTTGTTTAC